TTCCTTGTTTACAAAGAGATCAAATTTTGAAATATCAAATTGCATTATATGACAAGTAAAGAAAAGGATTACTAGCCTAATAAAAGATTTTAGCTAGAGATAAAATTTTTAATAGCAATACTATAGTTACAATATTATGTAGGATTGTAAACTTATAATTATAACATGATATTAAATTAGTAGACGCATTAATATTATAAGTAGTGAATTTTTAAATGAAAAGAAATAATTACATAATATTGTAAACTTATATTATTATGTGACATTGTAATAATTTTATGACACAATTAAATGTCTCAAACTATTTTATTAGACTTGTTAATTCTCATATTCCGGTGTGTCTCAGATGTGGAGAGGAGGAGACGATTTTACACGTTCTGCAGCACTACTACTTTGTAAGAACTATATATTTATTTCTATATTGGGGCTTAATTTAACAAATTATTTTTTAGCTATTGATTTATTTTTGTTTTAATTTAAAATCTTTATTTCCTTCCAAAATTATCTATTAACTTTCTAAATTGTTTTAATTTTATCTACCTGGCACAATTTTATTTATAAGATTAATGATAGCTTACATCATCACTTATGTAGTGTTGCATAAGCTGCCATATAAGCAACACGTGGCCTGAATAAATTTATTTTCGTTACTTTAACTAGGTTTTGTTTTAATTAAATTAGATTATAATTTAATTATTTATCATTAAGTACATTAGGAAAACAAAGAAGCGAGAATTTTTTTTCTTTTTAGCTCACGTGTTGCTTATGTATGTGTTGCTTATATGGCAACTTACGTGGTGAGACATAAGCAGGGACATGAACTTTTGTCAATCTAACTAATAGAATTTTATTGGGTAGACAACATCAGTACAATTTAAAAGTTAATGGACAAATTTAGAAGAAAATAAAGATTTTAAATTAATACAAAGAAATGTCAACAATTAATATACGATTTACCAAATTAAGCCTCTAAATTGCTGTTCCTACACCGTACCTCGACAATTATGAAACAAGGCAATTGATTAAAGTCCAAACAAGATCGAAGATAATTAGTACTCACAATGGACTTCAATGGTGCCTCATTTTTCTAGCTACGATTTAGCACTTATGGAAGTCTAGGAAGAAATATATCTTTGAAACGTGGTGGCCACCACTAGATGTGATTACGAGATTGGCTCTAAACCGTGCATCAGATTCATGTTCAGCTTTTTGTATAAATGTGCTCTCCAATCACTGAAAAATTGTTAAGCATACCCATAGAGACAACTAGGTTAGCCATACATTTACATGTAATTACAGTTTTATATTATCATATTCTTTATTGAATAATAACTATTATTTTTTTATGTACGTTAAATATTAATAAAATTCTTAATATGTTTATTACATCCAAAGGTAATAGCAACTATCATTATTGGTAAGAACCATATAATTTGATAGCAACGTTCTTAAGTTATTTATTAGTTGTATACATCATTGAGATATGACATTAATCAATGTAAAAACTAACACATATGACATTTTGATAGACAATAAGACTTGTTCTTATAAAATCGTGTCACATATAAGTGGGTCAAAGAAGATGAGTGTATTGAATTGACCTACCATAAGAACATTACATGCATATGTCATTGGTAGTATCTCACTTGTGACACGAGTGCAAGTGATTCTTTGACTTGAGGTCATTATTATTTTATACGAGAATTCATGTACTTTGATGTTATTAGAAACAATCATTATGAGAGGTTGTGAGTAATACATTTATTGGATACATAATATATCACGTGAAAATAATGAGCAAACCAAGATAGTATTCATCATTCTCAAGTTAATGGAAGAAAATATTCCTAGGTCATTTGATTGAAATAAGTAGTAGATATCTCTAGGTCCTTCGATTAAGATAGGACTACTTAAAGTCTATTGTCATAGTAGGAATGAAGGAGTTCATTTAATAAGATAGTCTATCTTGAGAGTAAAAGAAAATATATCAAGTTTTAAGGATGATAACATATAGTATGCATCTTACTTGATTATATCAACGATGAAAGGATTGAATTACATAAGTGTATTAGCCATGGGAATGTTTGTCAAAACCATCAACTCTTATATCACTTTGGGAGACCATAATGCATTGCCAGATACCACTATTAGTTTGTGGGGCATATTTATTGCTCCTATGATAGAAACCTAGAGGGTGACACAATTAGCATTCTTGAGGGATTGGAATTTTTATAAATTCAACTTTATGAAAGTAGATTACTTTTTGTGAAAATATTATTTTCACTAGAGAAATTAATTAATCAAATTTTGGTGATTAAAATGCTAGAGTGAATTAATTTAGTTTAATTAATTAATCCAAGTTATTTAAGTTTGAATTTGTTTGAGATTAAGGATAAGAAAATCCAAAAGTGAGAATTAAGGCAAATCCTAGTTCATCAATGGCATTTAGGGAAAGGGAGCCCTAGTTGAATTCCTAGTCCTATGCAAACTAGGTTGTGCCTCATAGAGAGGGAAAAATGTGGAAGCAAAGTTTCTTATTCCTTGACTTGAAGACTAACTTTATGTAATTATAATGGGATTAGTATTATTATTATCTTCATAACTCCTATTAGTATAAATAAGAGTAGAGAAACTTAATTTTTTCTCTAGAGGTTCATCATAGAATTTAGCCACAAAAATTCTTTACCATAGACAAGAACAAAGTAGGGTTTTCCTAAACCAACAGATAGGATGCCTAGTTTTCTTTTAATCTCTAATCGTGCATGTGGATTATTGCTAAAAGGGTTCTACCCTCAAACTCTGGGGTTCATGCAAAAGTTGTGGATTAAAGTTACCTAGCAAAGTGGCACACTTCTTTGAGGTATTAATCGGTCCTTAGTCGCCAATGCATTTATAAAGATCCTAGGTGGGTTGTATAGGGAAAATTTTTAATTTTTGCTTTTATTGGACCATCAAAACCTTAACACAAATAGCTTGGGTTCATTGCTTACATCCTACTTCCAACCAACTTAAGCACCACATGGATGATTCCTTAAATCATGTGTCAAGACATGCAAGTGCAGGTGGTCTTCTTAGACACTACATGGGCAACTGGGTTAAGGGCTTCATGTCAAGCATTTGTGATGTAAAGCATCCAGTTTCATAGCTGAACTATAAGGCCTATAGAAAGGCCTAATCTTTGGTTTGGAAATGAGCATTTCAAACTTGGTAGTTGAGATGGATTGACAACTACTATTCACTTAGTTGTAGGGAAATACCTAGCTTACTTTATATTATATGCACTCATTCTTGATTATAAACACCTTAAGAGTAAATTTACTATATGCATTCCCCAACAAGTTTAGAGGGAAGGATACTTTGTAGTCGACTTTTTGGCTAAACTCAGACATTAGGCATGTTAGGGGACAAAAGTTTTCAGGACACCTCTTTATCACTTAGCTCATATCTTACTATATAATGTAATGGGAGTACCTTTCTCTATGCATTAAGAGTCTTTCTTGATTTTCTTTAATGGACCAAATAAAAAAAAAATTCTCATTTGAGACTTCAATTTGAATTTGAAGATTAAGACTAAGAAAAACACCACAAATAAAAGTTAGAGATAATAAATATAGCAAAATAAAAATGTTGGTCTAAATTATCTATATTTTTAGATATAGTTTTTTTGTTCCTTATCTAATCATTTAAAGAGTATATATCTCTATTAGCAATGGTTAGTGTTGGGAGGTATGTGTGATGCCCAAAACTCCACATTGGGATAGAAGTGTACTTGGGTGGTAAATAAGTATAAAGACTAGCCATTATTAATAACTTAAATTTAAGCTTTTAAGAGCACAGGGACCTTGACCCGAAGAGTTACTAGGCTTATAATTAGCTTTGGCTTGGTCATTTTAGTTAATAACAAAACAATCACCTCTTGTATATGTGGGCCCATATTGACTATAATGGTTGGTGGTAGTATGAATCTTACATTCCTTAAGCTGGATCTTGTGCTTATGGGCCAGTTAGTATGAGTGGTATATAATTATGGAAACCAACCACTACTAACAAGTTGAGTCTAAACTTTTGAGAACCCTAGACCTTGGCCTATAGAGTTGTTAGGCCAATAGTGGGTTTTGACTTGAGTTATTTCAATTATTTAGGTGTACATGATACACTTATTTAATGCTTTAGAGGTCTTGAAATGTGAAATGATTATGATGGAGAAAAGCTTCAGCAGGTCTTGAAATGTGAAATGATTATGATGGAGAAAAGCTTCAGCAGGTCTTGAAATGTGAAATGATTATGATGGAGAAAAGCTTCAGCCACCTGTCATGAAAAGAATGCTAGGCAAGCTTAGGAACAAAAGAAAAAAGCCAAAATAAGGTGAACCATAAAAATTCAAGAAAGATGAGGTTATCATGTTGTCAAGGAATGGAAGAAAAATGCATTGCAAGTTATGTGGTTTTGAAGGTCACAACAAAAGGCATTGCCTTTCAAAGATAAAGAAGATCTTGAGGATAGTCAAGCCTTTATTGCTACTTCATTTAAGTTAGCATCTATAAGTAAATTTAATAATAGTTGAGATGACTTGTTTACATCTTAGTTTAAGGTTGCTTACTTCTTTTGATCTATTGATTCCAGGCTTGTTAGTGGAAGAAAAAAAGACAAAGAAGCAAACAACCTTAAACTAAAAGAAGTAAAAAGGTTGCACCTCGTCACTCATTAAAAAAGGAGAGGGAAAGGGCATGAAAATCAAGTATGAATAGTACCTTAACATGAATGACTTTTTTTTTTCTTTTTTTTTTGAGCTTTTGGCGGTAGTTGAACTTCAAACATTCATGTTATGACAATTAGGTGTAAGTAATGTTCTCTATTATGTGTGCATTTTGACTATGATGTTGACCTATTGCTATGCACATGCATTTGGCAATTTATGAAACTTGGCTAATACATATTTTAGACAAGGGAATTGACGATGTTAGCTATAATTTATATCTAAATACATTTGCCATTTTTGCAACTGAATTCATATTTCATTACACTTTTAGTTACAATTCACTAAGCAATAGACACATAACATATTTCATAAAAGAGAAGGAAAACAATATTATTTCTAGAACCTTAAAACATTCAACAAATAAACTATAGATATAACAATTGATACAAACAAAATTTGGTGCTAAATGGGATTGCTTAACTCATTTTTGGCATCCAATTTCATGAAGGCATCCAATTTCTTTTCCCACTCTTTCATATATCCCTTCAACTCTTGCCTTTCATTCCTCAGATACCTCAATTCATCATTTTCCCAATCTTTCAGAGACTTCATTTCATCATTTTCCCTTAAAGACATCAATTCCTCATTTTCCCCTATACAACCTTTACCATTACCCACTCTCCAATAATCTTGGCATCCTAACATTATCTTTGTCTTCTGCTCTAATAGTGAACAAGTCTTAGTCTTCAAAACTTTTCTTTTACGCTTCAACTCTAAGATGACATCAATATCTCTACTTGACATGGCTTGATCATGTCATCAATGTACAATATCAAGTATCTCTACATCACAACTCTTATCTGTGACCAAAAGGCACATATTTGAAATATTAGCATTCTTTTTTATATTACATATTTATAGATAAATGTAATAAGATCAAACTTGGAGAGTAACCGGAAGTTAGTTGATCTAAAAAGGTTTTTTGGTTTTTGGCTTAATTCATTTGGCCATTTAAGTGTGATAATAATACAAAAAATTGTTGAAAATTCATGCAGACTTCCATTAAAGAACCTAAAGATTCTTTTATCAAGTGATTTTCATATATTATATTCCTTTAATAACATGATTACCAAGCCTTTTACAAATAAAATTATAAAATGATCTCCTTTATTATTATATTAAATTTAAGAGGATACATAACCTCTTGTCAATTATTTGAAATATTTTGATATATTAGTGGATTAATATGTGCTTGAATATGATGGTGATCTTTTAGTCACTTAACAAATATATAATGTTGCATTAAGAGTATAATCTTCAAAGTACACAATTAAGAAAATCTTGCTTGATAATGCAAGGGAATTTTCATCCCATAGAAGGTTATGAATTTATTTTCAAATGATTTATGGTAAATCTTTTTACAACAAAATTTGTTAATTATTGATTTAAAGAACTCATATGCTTATGATTAAAAGGAGAGGAATAAATATTGAAAAAGCAAGAGATAACTTAAGATGGATCATCCAAGGTCCTCAAAACAAGTTTATATAAATTGGAATTACAAAGTCTTGTACAATCAATTATTAAATGCATCCAATGACACAATGGAAGTAAATCACATGTCCACACTTTAAGTACTTTTGCTTGTGTTGAATTTTCTATTAAAAAAGTTACTAAAATATTAACAAATGAGTATATTATGTGCATGTTAGAAGCATGGTAGAACAATTGTTTCAAAGATAAAAATCTAAGAATAAAGTGAAAGTATAAATAGAATGTTAGTATTGTTAAAATTATAAACACTTTTAAAATGTTTTTGAGGAAATAATCTTAAAAGAGGTTTAGATACTTGTAAACAATGTGAACGTTGAAATTATAAACAATGACAAGATCTCTATAAATTATGATTTTTTTTTAAATGGATAAAACTGAAATGAAATTGTTATCAATAAGAAATTTTGCATATGCTATTTTGAATAATATAGTTAATAAAAGGGACAATACTAGAATAAAATTGTTGAAAAATATTGATAAAGAAATGATTGAGTAATATCAAAAGATAATGATTGAAGTAAAAAATCATGAAAATAATGTCAAGTTTTTGGACCAATATTTTAAGTATATAATAATATAGGATGTTAATGGTATACCCTTTGGTTTAATACGTTGTATAATACATTTATTAAAAAATTATTATTTCTTGGTTTAAAATAATAAACAAACAAATTTAAAGATGCAATCATCTATATAACATGTAGGAAACCATTAAATCGGTTGTATTTATATTATATTTTAATAGCTAAATTGGTGAAATGTCAAAGGTGTGTTAAATTGAAAGGTGTACAAATTATTTGCTAATGATATAAAGTCAAAATGCTACAAGTAGTATTTGTGAGAATATATAATGATTAATACCAAACAAAACTTGTAGTATAAAGATTTATGCAAAACTTGAAACTAGTTATGAGAAGATATTCTCTTTCAATATATTTTATTATTATAATTTTTTAAAAATTGTTTTAAAAGTCTTAAAGGCCTTCAAATGCATTTTATGAATGTTGCAACATTTGAAGATATGATAATTACATTTATATAAAAATCCATGTAGGACTATAGCTTAATATGCCTAAAAGATATAATACTTGAAGCTCATATTTGAAGCATAAGATGAAGTTTCAAAGGCTTAAAGCATATAACTCAAAACTAAGAACAATATTTTTGTATCAATTGATGAAAAAAAATAAGTGATAAAATCATCCTAATAAAAAAAGATTTGAAAAATATCATATCAATAAACTTATTTTTACGAAGAGATTACAAGTGAAATTTATTATTGTTGCAAAATATATTAATGATTAAGTATCATTAGAACTCTTGAAGATTTTGGATAAAATAACAAAAAGGTATAAAAAGTGATTATGAGATGAAAAATCTCGAAATAATAAATTTTTCATGGCTTGCAAATTGAGTACTTATTAAGTTGATTTTGATTATCGATCAAACTATAAATAAAAAATTTTAGAGTACGTCAATATAGATAAAGTTGATACAATAAACTTACCAATGATAGTTTGATCCTTGATATTATGGATGATACTTTTCATCATTAAGAAGAGTTTAAGTTGAGGAAGGCTTATAGAGTAATTGACCAAGTTATTGGCAAAAAGGTGCTTCCTCACTCATATGACCAAGATTTGAACCTTCATTCCCCCCTTCCACCTCTCTTCTCCATTAGGCTTTCGACTAGTTGGTTGTCCAATAAGAAAAAGAAAAAGAAGACTTTTGGTCCTAAAGTACCACCCCTTTGCTTCATCGTATTTTTTTCCCAATGGATTTTTTAGCAAGATTTTAATGAGGTGTTTAATAAGTATATAATAAAAAGGTAAATATCTAAGGGAGAGTATTATGAAATAATTTATGGTGGATGTTTTTCACCATCCTCACCTTTGATCCCCACACTTTTTAATGTAATTACATATTAAATAGTGGTGATTAACTCCCCATTTCCTCATGTAAGTACTCCTTCTATTCCTAATTATTAGATATTTTAGGATTATACTCAAAGATTAAGGAAATCATTCAATGAGAGAGTAAATTTGAAAAAAGAAATTAATTAAACATTATTTTTGATAAATAGAGATAATATGATATTAGAATTTAAGTAATATGTACAAATCAAGGAACTACTATTCCGATAAGGTCAAATACAACAAGTAAGAGAGATAGCAAGACTTTTTCAAAAGTAGTAAAGTTTATAATAGCATAACTTCTAAGTTTAGCTAAATAGTCTACTACTCTATTAGCTTTGCAGTAAATATAAGCTAGCTAAATATTAACAAAATGCTCCATAAGCTTCTTGCAATCACCAACTAAAACAACAAGAGGTTGAGATAAAGGCACATCATCATGAAGAAGCATTTTTGCACTTTTGGAATTAGTTTCAACTAAGAGTTTATAGAAGCTATTCTTGACAACCATTTCTAACCCATTCTTGATAGCCCACAATTCAATCGCTATGCTAGTGATTCTCCCGACCCTCCTAGAAAAGCCAAGAATAAAATTTGCAAAATGATCTTTAAAAGACCACTTGCCCCCACAACACTAGGATTATCTTTAGCAAATTGAAATTAAAGTAACATTGATTTGCTAAAATGTCAATTATTTAGGAACAAAATTTTCTCTCTCAAACAACCAATATTTAGGAACAAAGTGATTGAGTAATTAACGAAAATTAAATCTCCACTTTTTCATATATTTACATGATGATCAATTACTATTTAGTAGGTGATTTATTTTTGTAGCTCTTACTATTTTTTTTAGCCTATATGAATAGGGCTTAACTATAACTTGTTTATAACTTGTGTGGAAATGAAAAAAAAAAAAAAAAAAAAAAAAAAAAAAAAAAAAACTAAAAACATTTTATTGTCTCCTTCTCTTATTTTATCTCTTTTTTATGTTACCTTGTTACTTTTACTATTTTAAAGGCAAAAATCCTTCTTTACCCTTTAAATTTGCCCCAAGTTTGTATTTAAGCCTTTTAATTAAAAATGATGCAAATAAGCCTTTCAACTTCTCAATTGGTGCAAATAAGCACTTTATGACTAACAACAACACTAACAACCCAAACAATTGGATTGACTTCATTTGTTCTCTTTCTTTCCATTGGTTCTAGATGTTGATATAGAGGGATCTTTGATTCCCACTAAAATCTTGAAAACTATAAATAAAAAAAAAAAATTAAAGACAAATTTTTTGAACTTCATCCAAAAATAATAGATATTTTTTTATTTAGAATTTATCCCAAAATAATAGTTATTTTTTTTTTATATTTTAAGGGAGGCAAATACCTTTTTCATACTTTAACCCTATGATTATATCTTAATTTTAATTATCATCCTATCATGAAAAAGATTCTTTATTTTTATTTCTTTTTTATGAGTAAAATAGGTAAAAATAGAAATTATCCTCAAATCCTTAATTTCGAGATAAAATAAAAAAATATTTATTACTCTAAAATAGAGAAATACAACTTTTTTTATATCTTTATGTGTCTTTTAATGATTGTCTCTTTTCATTCAATTAGAATCTATGATATTATATACATCTAATTATTTAGTCATATATGAAAGTTATATAAAAAGATTGTACAAAAATATTATCTGTATATCATTACCTAAAAAAATTGAAAGAAATTAGAAAGGCACTTTTACCTACATTAGCATCTACATTGTCACATTAGCAATATTGCCAAATGAAGCCAATCCTAGTTAAACAATTGTTAGTCATAAGTAGACCTAGCAATTTTTTACCCAACCTACTAACCCGTCCATTACCCACCCATTTAAAATGGGCTTGGGTCATATATTTATGACCTGTGACTCGTTAAGAGAACCCGACGGTCACGGGTCAGTAATGGGTTGACCCACTAGGTTAACGAGTTTGACCTGTTTACCAGTCTAAAAATTTAAAAATCTTTAATTTATTATCTATTTATTTTGTTTTCCAATTCCCAATCCCAATCCCACCTAAACCTCTAATAATTGACTAATTTTCCCTAATTAGTTAATTGATTCTCTTAACTCATCATTTTCTAGAAGTAAAAATAATCCCACTCCACTCATAACTCACCTCTTGACCTTTCCTATTCTTGCTTGCCCTAATACTCTCTAAGACTCTAACTATTCAAACTTCAAACTCTTCTCATATTCTTCAACCTCCATAGTCTGTACAGCCTTCAACTTTCAAGCTTCGACTCCACCTTTTCTCTTTAGTCTTTAACATTATCTCAGACTTAGATTTTAGTCTCACCGAGTCACCATCACGTTTACTCATCCTTTTCTTTCTTTCTCCTACGAGTCCGGCAAGTGATCTTTTTGTCACCAATTTTTCTCTCTAAAGACTTCAAGGTAAGTTGTTTACTTATTTATGCTTTTAAGTTTCTTTCCATTCCAAGTAAAAATTCTACTTGATCTTTTCCTTGCTTACTTAGATGCATTCAATTGATTGATTTTTTGAAAGCAATGACCAAAACAAATATGTTCCGATGGGGTTTGTGTTTTTTGGTTGTCATGCTACTACTGTAGTGTTCTTGAATTTGATTATTTTTGTTCTTTGAAGGGAAGTAAAGGAGGTGATTTTGAGGAACTATAAATATGTATATATTAAATTAATGGGAAAAAATTCTTTTTATAAGATGTTGAATTTCTTTTTTAAATCTTTTGAATAATTTTCTTTTAACGATAATAAATACAAATTATAGAGAAAAACAAAGAAAAAAAATTTAATTGGGTCATCTCGCGGGTTGACCTGTGACCTGTGATGCGCGGGTTAGAGTCTGCCTTTATTGACCTGTTACCCGTTTTAACCCAACTTGTTTTGACTCGTTACCCGTTTTGACCCGATCCTAACTCGACTCAACTTGCCCATTTGCCAGGTGTAGACTCATAAAGGGTTTATTTGCACAAGTTGAGGAGTTGGAGAGTTTATTTACATCATTTTTAGTTTAGTGCTTAAATGTTAATTTGGAGCAAGTTTAGGGGCTCAAGAAGGGTTTTGCCATTTTAAAACAAAAAGGAAAAGAAATATTCTGTTTAAGAATTTAAACCTACCTGCCATAAAAGCGCGTGAGGGATTCATCCAAATATGTGGACAGATCTAAAGTGGGACCCATCATGTGCCCCACTAGGTTAACAGCACTTTACATGTATCATCAGATCAGGCACTTAGCATCACAGCCGCACAAATATTTAAATAAAATGAAATGAAATAAAAAGACGCTATTCCGATTTGTTGCATTAGGTACAGTGAGTGGCATAACAGAAGTTGAGGCAAAAATTACGCTTACAGACCGAACCGAACCGAACCGAACCATGATCCTGCTGACCGAGCCCATCTGGCCTACAGTAGGTCCAGTGGTACACTCTTACAGGCACAGTTAAGGCTGCAAGTGCCAGTAACTGTTTGTAAGGGTAAATGGGATCAAACTGGTCAGCTTTTCAAAAACAATAAAAGTTAGGTTTCAGTAAATCTCAGCCCAAATATTCTTCTCGGGATTGGTGGTAAAAGACCCCCTATTTGTGCTATAAATACCACCCTCTCCTCTCTCCCTAAACCTACTCTCTTCTTTCCTTCATTTCCCTTCTCTCCTTTCCTTTTTTCAGCAGTTATTAGGGTTTGGTACTTTAGCTTCCAAACTCTATCAATATATGGCTCTCTTTGTATTCTTCCACAGCTTTCTTGAACTGCACCGATGAGACGAGTTATGTTGCATGAGGCAGCACAACGATTTATGTCGATTCCTTTTGGTTGCGGTTCAATAAAGCTGTGGGAAGATACAGTCAGGGTCAAGCAAATCAAATATCAATTCATGTATGTGACTCTCTCGCATCTTGATCTGATTCTCTGTTTTGATTCTTTTTTATTTTTGTAATAATTCTTTGAGATCCAGGGCAAAGTTTTTCCTTTTTACAGAGCAGTGCTTTTGATTTCTTGGTGACACTGATATGATTGTACTAAGAATTTATGAATATTTTGCATATTGTTGTTCTTGGCCCTTTTTTTTTTTTTTTCTCATTTTAAAGTTTTCTTTTTTCAGGTTTTGATGCCCCATTAATGGGTATTTTCTACTCCTTTTATACAATGGAAAGTTTCTTCAGTTTCTTCCTTTCCTTTTGTTCTCTATATAGAGATGGTCCTTCAGCATTTAAGGGAATCCACAAAAGATATATCAATGTTACCTTTGATGGTTCCATGAGAGATCTGAATAATATCTATGGCCTTGAATCTTGTCTTTATTAAATCCTTTTGATGCCGTTTAATTTTTTTCCCAGTTGAAATTTATATTGATTCGCTTTGTTGTATCCCATGTGTGCAGGTACCATAAGATAAACTACTTGCGGTTCAAAAGCTACTCCCTCTTTATACTTGTAGATAAAATTGCTATTTAGATCTTTTGATCTGCACTTGCACATAGTTCGTCCATTATTATAAATTTCCAACTCACGGATCTTCACTCATTTCTGCTTTTTCTTCTGTTTATAGAGGAGAATTTTTGCTTTGGTCTGCCTGATTTTTACCTAAATTAAGATGACTTAATCTTTTCACTGTTGTAGGATAGGAATTCTCGTGAATAAATTTCCCGTTAAATTAAATATTTTTGATGGACCACTAGGAAGATAGCTAGGTATAGAAT